CCTAGTCATTGTCCAACTCTCTGATGCATAACAAGTGATTGCAAAAACCATGGCCTGTATCAGGCGGACGTTAGTCTCCAGAGAGACACCGTTGCTGAAAGATACAGAATTAAAAAAAAAATAATACTTTAACCACTTCATATTTTCATTTGGGAATATACAGTTTTACTAAATTTTTCCAAAGATGCATTATAGAAATTATAAAGGGAGAGAGGAGTAGCCTCAGAACTTTTAGAAATGATGTAAGAATTAAGCATCGTGTTCTTGGAGAGAGGCAGCTAAGAGATGCAGAGTAAAGTTCATTTGGCAGAACCATTATGAAATACAGGTGGCATTAACTACTGTTTCAAAGACAACAAGACAAAGCTCTGTTGTCAGTGTTGCTGTTAGGTGTTGTTGAGTATGACACATAGTGACCTTGTGAACACCAGCTCTGAACCCTGTCCTGTCTTGGGCCGCCATCATCATCTCTGACTCAACTGAGCCCACGGCTGCTGTCACTGTGTCAGTCCCTCTTATTAATGGTCTTCAACTCTGCTCACCTTTACCTTTCCAATCACGACATTCCCTTCCAAGGAATTGCCTCCTTCGGCAACATTCCTAAAATATGTGAGGTGAAACTTTGCCATGCTTGCCTATAAGGAGGACGCTAGCCACACCTTTTCCAAGACATATCTGTTCTTTTAGCCGTCCAGGGGATGGTTAGCACTCTTCTCCAACATCAATTCAAAGGCATAAGTTCTTATTTATTGTCCACCTCGCAGATGTATAAAAGGGTAAGGTAAAATAGAAACCATATTGAAGTTCTGTAGCATGTCAGATTATGAGGGGTTTCCTTAAAGCTTGTGTGTATATATGTGTGTGCACATCCATGCTTATACATTAAAAGGTAAATTTCAAAGGGGAGCAATCAATAAAGACATTTGATTTAAATAAAAGCTTGCAACATGGTCTGCTTTGATGGGTTTGCATATCATTCTACTTCTGAGGTGGCTTGCGTACATGTTCTCACCTGGCTGGCTCCTGTGCCCTCCCACTCACCTCTAATGGGGAGATGGAACTCGTCCCTGCAGGTAGGTCCTGGTGAGGGGCTCACTGGCCCTCAGCCGCCACCACCTGGCCTAGAGAAGTATCTAGGATACCCTCAGGTCCTTGGAGTAGACCTCGTAGTCCACATTTGCTGCTTCTCAGCCAGGACAGGAGGGGTAGAGAAGCAGCTAGAGATGGATTGAAGGCAGAGGGGCTGATTTAGGAGAATTTTCACCCAAACACTTAGTGTTTTGTGAGTAGCAAAGGTGATTGTCAACACTAACTTGATACTTTGACAGTGAAATATGTTGAATTAAATGAAAAGGTCTACCTTAAAGCATATACTCAAGTATATGTCAAAGTGCAGTTTATTGAGTACATTCCATGTCCCAGCATAGGGCTGGGCGCCTATCCACATGACTGCCATTTCTTATTCTAGCTCCACGGTACCATTATTTATCATCAGTTTCAATTAGAGGAAACAAGATTACAGAGTATCAGGTAAATTAACAGGAAGTTCAACCACTAATGCCATAGAATGCAGGTCCAGGTCCTTAGAACCTGGTGTTTCATCCAGCCTTCTAACAAGTCATAGGTAAATGAGCATTGATTGTAATCTAGCAGTGTAGGTAGGACATCTTCACGGTACTGCATGGATGCAGCGTCATTTACAAACTTCTGTTACTTGTCAGTTCATAACCTGTTTTTTTCAGGTCTGCTGACCCTGGGCCTGGCTTGGGAGAGGAATCACTGAGTTGATGGTTACCCTTTCTTCCTGCTGTTCAGTGCCCTGAACCTGTTTCATTGCCAGCTGTTGTGCTTTACAGTCCTTTATTTTAAAATTGTCAAACTTGTGGAAAGGAAGTGTTCAATTTGAAGGTTTCATATTTGGATTTTCTAACGGCAGGGGCTGTGGCAAGTGTATGTGCCGCCTATGGGCACCTGTGTGAACCAGCCTGGCTGATCTGGGCTGGTGTCCCCACTCCCCAGCTTCTGCAGTGAGGAGGCAGGGTCGGGGAGAGAGAATGAGGGGCTCATGGTCCACCTGCAGGCTAAGCTCTCTTCCCAGCCGCCCCATTCCCACAGTGATCTTGTGAAACAGTGACGCTCTCGGGTTTGTGTTTGCATGGTCTGCCGACTTCACCCAGCCGTCTTGAGGCGTGGGGTGTGGGGTGTGTGGAAGGCCAGGAAGGGGTTGGAAAACTTGTGTTCTGCACAAGTTTTGGTTTTAAAATGATTTTTATCTTTTCTCATGAGCCCCAAATTACAAAGATTGTTTTAAAAGAAAAAAAATGTTAAGACTTTATTTATTCAACATGTGTATTAGGCATCGTAACAAAACAGAACTTTAGCCTTTGGGACACTCATTTCACATCCCTCCGAGCACAGTCCACGCACTACTTTATCACAGTTCCTTCTACAGGGACAGAACAGGAATACACGGCATAAACGGGAGAGTGGGCTCTGGCACCGTCGGGAGATGCCTGCCCGGAGCCATCTCAATACTGCGAGGGGCAGAGCTCCGTCAGGACAGGGCTGGCAGGCACTCGTCACGACACGTGGACAGCTGTACTAGGAGCACGCACACTTCAAAGGCCAGCCAAGCGAGCAGGCTTCTCACATGAAGCTAGGAAGGGTCGGGACAAAACTCTCTAGGTTATCAATACAAGACTGCATCTTACTGCCGCGCATACAGCAGGTACTCAATGGCAGTCGACCTGAAAGTTAATGTGGCGATGACAGACTTCCGAGCTAGCATCTTGGAAACAGCCTGTGCTGTAAATCTGCAAATTAAAAACACTGTTATATCCTCTAGACAGAACAACACACCACTACGTGTACACTTGTAGGCATTCACATTTTATGTCAGTCCATACGCAAATATACAGCTTGTTGGATAAGTAAACACATTTTGCCAGAAATATGACAGCTGCTCTTGGTTATACAGTGAGTGTCTTTATGGGAGAAACCAAGACCCTAATCAACATTTGAAGAAAAGAATAGTTACATTTACAGTAAGACAGCAGTTTAGATAACTTTATAATGTAAAATTCTTAAATGAGAAGTAATACCATGTGTCTTGAGAGTAGAGTGCTTCAAACTTTCTTTTTTTGGCATAATTGAGTGCACACTTGCCAGGCTGGAGTTGTTAAGACTTCCCATTGTGAAAATTCACAATAGGAACTTAGTATCTGCTGCTAATGGCATTTTGTATTTTGGCAAAAAAAAAAAAAAGAGAAGTTGCTAACAAGCTATTAAATATTTTCTGCATTTATTTCTAATAATTCTGAGTGCTCCCAAATAAGGTAAATACTTCTTAAAGGTTTTCCTGCCTGAAGCTATTCAATGAGCTCAAAGAAAACACCTGGCCTTTCCTCACCGGCTTAGGCCGTGTGGGTGTTGGATGCACGGATGGTGAAGGGGCTAGAGCCTTCACTTGTTCTTTTAACCACAAACTTGCTTTCAGATTTCCTAAGTCCTTTAGAAAGTAACAGGATTACCCTGACAGGAACTATGGGGAAAGGGATGGAAGTAAGCCTATCTGGGAACAACCCATTTCAAGTGAAGCCCTTTCTGAGGGGCTAAGATCCAGCTAACGGGTCAGCAGAAGCGGCCACCACTGTGCCTTCACACGGCACTATCATGGAACAGCTTTTCATGGGCCAGCTTACGTCGGGGGACAGTGGGGTCTGTGTGATTCATCACATGGATTCTCTAGTCTTCAGGGCATTTCTACAAACACACACAATCCAAATATTATGAGTAGCTGGGTTGTGACTACTGCATGCATTACACGTAACAAAAACACCAATTCTGGGCACAAATACACTAGTCCTACATCTAGGCTCAGACCCTTGGGGGAAGTAGCTGACTTAGGACGGAAATACCATTTAAACCAGGTGCTTCTCCTTTACAGCTGAAGTTCTCAGAGAAGGGAGGGTGCCCTCGGGTAACGCTTCTTTCCTCTGTGAGGGGATCCAGGCTTGTCTAAGGTGCCCACCATGGCCCACAGCACCTGTGGCCACACCCTTCTCTCCCCTTCACTTTCTGCTCAAAGAAAGGGGACAGAGGGGCTGGAGCCACAGAGATCCCAAACTTGAAATCCTTTCCAGGGTCATGCACATCCTGGGAGTATCCTGTCGCATATCTGAAACTGTGTACATCCAGATGCTTTCCTCACGGCTCCCCAGGAAGAAGGGCCATTCCATCACAGCTCTGGTTACTACGAGTGAGAAACAGTCATTTGCTAACCACATTTAAACACTCAGAAAATGACCCTCCCTTGAGCTCCATCGGTCCCTGTCCCCGGGAGTGCAGCACCTGGCTAAGGCCACACTAGATGCCCCTAAAGAACTGGTTACGGGCATGGAAGCTCCTGTCCTGGATCTGCGGGGAGGAGACGGCTCCTCTCATCCACTACTCATCTGCCACTAGCATGCCTTAACTTCTCAGATTTAAGGGCCAAACTCTGTCAAGAAGATGGACCAGCTACCCACAGGAGAAGGGACCTGTTAATCGAGGGGCTTTAGAAGGGACATTCTCTGAGATCAAAATCAAGTTTTTACTTTTTCTGTTTTTGCCGTTTCCTTACACGTCAGAACCTCTGGAAGCCCTTGCAAGTTGATTATATTAAGCCAAAACCCATTAAGTATGTACAGCATAGTTCAAAGGATTAGTACCAATAACAACAACAACAAAAGTTTTAAAAAATTGCTTTGTTTGCATGTACAGGACTAAAAACTAAGTATGCAACAGGTAAATTACAAATGTACATCTGAGCAGTGAGGGGTTCTCTCGTGTCTGTGGAAACACTGCTGTCTGTCCTAACAATTCAGTCACAGAGAACTGCTAACCTCAGAGGACTTAAAGGTCACTCTCATCCACTGCCTTTATCTTTAGCCTCTCCCAGCAAAGGCAAGAAAAAAAAGGAGGGGGAGGGGAATTGCTACAAGTGGCAGAGGGCAGAGTGACTCTGATGTTAGTGACGAGCTCTTTAAGGCAGAGAAGAAACGTTCTGTAGGCCCGGGGCTGTTGGCTCCCCTCACGTGGTTTCAGTGGCCGAGGCTGAGGTACTTTTCTTCCTGAAGCGAGATCGAAGGGTTCTAGGCGGTGCCTGGGTGAGAAACGAGAAAGAAAGGCATCCCTCAGGCTGGCACCAGTGTGGTCATGTGAGAGGGTGGCTCCTGAATGGCTTTCAGGAATGCACACTGCACGGCTGACAGCAGGGAAGGTGCTGACCACCAGCGTCTCAGCCTGGCCATCACCGTGAGGCAGGGGCCACTGAGAAGGCCAGAGCTCCCTTTCAACTGCTCCAACCCCACATCCTTGGAGCCCCCCAGTGAAGGGCCCTGCAGAAGGCCACACACATCTTTCTAGTACTGGTGACTGCAGAGAGAAGCCTCCCATCCCTCCTTGCAGCTCTGTTCTTGCCTCCAGGAAGCAGCCTCATTCTGCTTGACATATGACATTTCCATCACCAAATTCCCAGCCCTGTGTGTCAAACTACGGAAGGCACAGAAACTCCCCCACCAAGCTGAGCACCACCCTTAAGTGAAAAGGGACCCCTTTATCTCCCTCCAGAGATGCACATCACAATGGAATGAAAGGAAAAGTTTCTCCAGGCCCAGCATGTGGTTCGCACAGACGTCCCCCAGGTCCATCCTGTCCACTTTTCCCTTCCTCTACTGAACTTTTTCTCCTACGGTATCTTTTCATGGCTCCTGGAAGCCCTTCTGTCTTACATACTTCTAGGCTTGTCTCCTAAAGTGCCTCTCAGTGGTTTTGAACCACCAACCCTCTGGCTAGTGATCAGACCCTCTCCTCACTCCCTGGCACAGCCCAGGGTTTAGTCACCGTCAGGTCCTCACAATCCATGGTGGGCTGAACTCTCTGTCTCTCCACCAGCTGCTTCCTGAGGCCAGGCTGGGTGTGCCCCAGTGGCCAGCCCAGGGCCAGGCAGGCACCGAGGGGGCAGAAACTAGGGACCAGAAGCCTTGGCCTTTCACCTCACAATCCTCATGTCTTACGACTGAGACAGGCTCTTTAACAACTGTCTTTGGAAGAGGTGGAAGAACTCGTGAGACCTGATGGGTTTGGTGATTGGTTCCTTGGCAGGCTGGTTACTTCAAAAATAAACTTTAAAGGTGTGGCTTAAAATGCCCAGACCACAAAAGCACACCCTCTCAAGACCTCCTGTTCCATAGGCCCCTTTCACCCCATGGGGCTGTCCTGGCTCTTGTTCCTCATGCATCCCTTCTTGGGATCCCAGCACATCCCTTCCAAGCCCTGACGTAAGGGTTGGTCTATGCGTGCTTCATCTTGGGGAGGGATCTGGTGAATGCGTGCACCATGAGGTAGAAGTAACTGTGGTTCTAGAATGTGGGGGACTGATTGGTCACTGTGTTGGCTTGTTGCTAAGTGGCACTGAGTCGACCATGACTCATTGCACCCCTGTGAACAGCAGATCTGAACCCTGTCCGACCCTGCGTCTTCCTCACCGTCTGTCATGCTTAATTAAGCCCATTGCTTTAGTCACCTTAATTCTTGTTGAGAGGAGAATTTGAAAGATGTCCTCAGCTGATTCTCATAGGGACCTCTCTGCTCTGTAACAGTGGGCTCCCAAATTGCCCCAGAAGGACTCTCAGGCCTCAGTATTCAGCAGATAGAGAACAAAAGAGATATGAAGGGACGAGAGAAGGACTTTCTGGGTCCCCCCTGTCCTGCCTCCCCTGCGGTGATGTCTGAGGCCACTGACTCACATCACAGAGCAATCCCTGTGAGGTTCTGGGCTGGGCCCTTAGCCAACACCCCACATTTGTATTTGTATATGTTCTTATGTGTCAGCAAGTCAGAACCAATATACAGCTGATCCTCTAGCAGGTTTTCAGAAGCTGTAAATCACACAGAGAACTCCCTCAGAGAAGCTGGTGGATTTGAACCACTTGCCTTTGGATTGGTAACTCCTTACCACAAGAGTTGCCTTTCATACAAGAGTCAAGTGTGTTGTTTTTGGTAACTTTATAGAGATGAGCATATGCTATTATACACTTTGTACTTGGCACTACACTGTGTTTTAGAGATAGCTGGTAAATAGCTTTATGTGAAACTTGTGAAAATCAGACTTTCTAAGTTTTTCTTCCTCCAAAACACTCATTTGGGTTACTTTTCACTTGAATGTGGTCTTAGATTAGTAGCTAATATTAAAGGGAAATGCCAAAAATAAGTCCTGCATGTCTTCCCACTCACTTCTCCTTTTTCTAAATAAATGAAAATGGTCTTATTCTCCCGGAGAGCAGGCGGATTCTACATGTCCTGCTTGTTGGATGAGGGACATCTCCCCACCCAGACACACAGGAAAGGCTGCCAGGTGCCCCAAGAGCTATCTTCCCAGGACACCCAGGTCTCCACACACATGCCCCAGCCCACAGCCCTGGACACTGGGTACCTCCAGGGGCAAATCCGTCTTTCGAGGCGCCTTATACTTGTATATGAAATCCAGCAGGTCTTCCTCCTCCTCGTGAGAAAACGCCAAGGGGTTTTGGACCCGGTGGGGCTCCCAGGCCTTCACACCACCCTCATTCACATCTCCCTCAACCACTTAATGTTCATATAAATCTACACAGAGGAGACAATACAGCAAGGGAGCATCAGTTGGGGAAAGTGCACGGAAAGGTAGGTAAGGGCAGGATTAGGCACACAGAACAGCACACCAGGCCTGTTAGGACAGTGGGGTGCATGGCCTGGAGGGTGTGTTACTCTTGGAGCTTGTCTGCAGGGGTACCTGGGATGATGTTGAGAATGCAGTTGGAGACCTGCCAGGAGCCATCAGTGGTGGAGCTCTGCCTCCTCAGAGACAAAGAGGCCCCCACCAGAACAGTGCTCAGGAGCCTGCTAGGAAGGGCTCAGAACCCCCCTCAGACCCACGGCCGTGAAGCCAATTCTAGCCCTCAGCCACCTGCTGCCAGGTTTCTGAGACTGCTTCTTCCTGGGAGGAGACTGCTCATCCTTCTCCCACTTTCATCTTTTATGTTTTCCAGTGTTGACAGCAGCTTACGCTAGCAAATGTCTCCCAAGGCAGCTTTTAAGAGGCTGGATGGAAAATGCCAGGAAGGCTTAGAGGATACACTTATACGGATTTTCATTTCAAAGGCAAAGCCCTAGGCAAGCAGAGGAGCCTAATGGGAGGGAGACCTAAAAAGACAACATCAAGATTCCTGTCTCAGTCCACCCTGAACAAATCTACAAGAACTCCGGAATTATTTAATTTCTCTGACTCCAGAATTCACTTCATCTCTGCAGTGTTTTGAAAACGTTGTCGTTGTTAGGTGTCAGCGAGTCAACGACAAGTCCTAGAGACCCTATGAACCCTGTCCTGTGCCATCCTCCCCATCTCTGATATACTGGAGTCCATTGGGACAAGCAACCGTGTCAGTCCACCTTGTTGAGGGTGGAGTAAAACCAAATGAATGGTGGACATAGCTGGTTATCGCTGCTGTTCTACTCTACGGACAGCAGAGGGCAGCATCCGAACATGCTGGCTGGGACCCAAAATTTCAGAATTCTAGAGCTGGTTCAGTGCTAAATTTCTCCTTCCCTGCCAGAGATGTGGGTCCAGTTCATGCCCAGCACATCTGGCCACAGACACCCCTGTCTGTCAGTGAAGATCTTATGAGCTACTTCCAAACTCAGCTATAATGAAAACCATGGGCATGACAACATGGTGCCCTGCAGCTGATGGTGGTGGTGGTGCAGGAGAGGGCTGAGTTCTGGTCTGTGGTGCATGCAATGGTTCTGAGTCGGGGTCAACTCCCTGACAGCTACCACCACCACCACTGTGGGCCTGGGAGTTCTCTGCTGAGACACCACTCAAACAGCTGGCCTTTGATGTTCTTAATTTCTGTTTACTTGGGTTCTCTGGTTTCTTCTGGTCCAAATTAGCAGTACCCTTAGTACCCTACTGAATAGGAAGGCTGCCCACCCTGGGAGCCCTCCTGGAATGCTCTGGTCCTTCCTGCCTCGCACTGGGGCACCATCACACGTAAGAGTCCAGGCCCTGGGGTGGTGCTACATGTTCTCATGTCAGTTACTGCCTCCAAGTGTCATAAGGTTGCAACATGCTCATCCCCCGCCCTCTCTGGGGTACGTGGGACTGTCCTGTGACCCAGGTACTGGGGCACAAGGGCCATCCCACCAGCTAAATGAGGGCTGGTACTGGAGGGAGCCCCATGCTCATCCCAAGTCAGATGCTTATCAACTAACAAGTAAATTCCTTCTCAATAGAGTTACCCCCAGCCTGACAGGAATAAAAGGAGTGCCAAGGGCCAAAGCCTTCAGACTCAGACAAAACCAGAAAAAGCAGCTCTCTTCCTCTCAGACCACCTGGCACCCCTTCCAGAGGCCTCTCAATCCTGGGTCAGGGCTCTGAGAACCAGCTTGGGAGTTTGCTTCACATGCTGTTGCCCCTAAATCTGAGCCAGGATTTCCCTGCACTGGGAGCTCTGGGGCTACTAACACTCTCAAGTCTAACTGCTCAGTTCACGCAGCACAAACCACATGTCAATAAGTGAGTGGCCCCAGGCCTAGAACCAGACAGTGTGTCCTTGTTCTCTACAACACACTTGTCCATGGGCTCAACTAAACCTGACTTATTGCTGTGGAGTCAGACCTGCTCATGGCTGAGCCTCTAGCGGTCTATAGAGGCTATAAATAAAGCAGGAGGAGACTGCTCATCTTTCTCCCCAAGAGCAGCTGATGGATTAGAATCTTGTCCCTTTGGGTTGGCAGTGCAACTCCCTACCCCCTAGGCCACCAGGACCCCCTTGCATTGGGGGCTAAAGGGCAGGGAAGCAGGGACCTTCTGACTCAGTGGGAGAAATGGGTGAAGGAAACACAAATATCCAGGCAGACAGAGAACAAGTGTTCACCTCAGCAGAGGCTGGGGGCAAAGGAGGCTGTATGGGTGGCCCAGGAGGCCAGATGTACCTCCAGGCACTACTCAAAACTTATTGCTCACAGGAGGCTTCTGCCAATCACTTTGTCTGCAGTGTTGTACCTTTCCCTCAGGACCTGTGAAAGGACCAGCCAAACCTTTGAACCACGGGTTAGTGTTTGTGT